AAAAAAAAATTTAAATAAAAAAAAGTGAAAAAAAAAGAATTTGGATTAAGATTATCTTTTACTTCTCAAACATTCAAATGCTTAAATATGACAAAAATTTGACTCATTTTTTCTGAGAATATACTTTTGATTTTTTAAAGGTTGTGATCCTTATTTGTATTTTGGAAAGGGGTTGCTACTTTATAGGAAGATAAAATGTTAAGTCATGTAAATCCTCAACATTTTGGCTAAAGTGGTGATAACTGAATAATTCCAGAATTATTGTTAAATACTTAGTTATTTAGGGGTTTAAATTACTTTCAGATTGTCTAGGATTGAACATGGGTTGGGTGTTTTTTTTGTGTGTGGGCGGGGTGTTTGAGACAGGTTCTCCCTGTAGCCCTGTCATGCCTGGAATTCACTAGGTAGATCAGGCTGACCTCCATTTCATGATCTCACAGAGATCCACCTACCTCTTTCTCCCAGTGCTGGAATTAAAGATGTGTGCCACTGTGCCCTGCTGAGCATGGAGAATTTTATGACTTTTGCAAACAGCTTATTTAATGTATTATTTCTTATCCTTTGACTTGTCAGTTGAAGAAAATGTTCTTTCAATTTTCTAAAGAGCTTCCTTTACTAGTGAATGCTTCAGCAGGTTATTTTCTGTATTCAGTGGCATTCAGTTGTTGATTTTGGAGACTTGCTGATTTTAAGAGGTGGTAATTATTTTAAAAGTTCACAAGCATTTTAAACTATATAACATCAAGTGCTGGTGTTCTCATAAGGGTGTTCTCAAAGATTCTTGAGTGCAGCTCGGCATAAATTTGTTTTTAGTATGTAATACAAAAAGCTTTTTCCTTCAGAGGCAGAACAGGCCAATCTCTGTGAGTTCAATGCCAGGCTAGTCTACATTGTCAGCCAGGGCTATATGGTGAGACCCTATCTCCAAAAAAAAAATAATAATAATAATAATTTTAACTGTACTTCCTGTGACAGTCATTATTATCTATTGTCTGTAGTAGTTTTTACTTTCCCTAATTTATATCACACTAGTGTGTATGTGTGTAGTTTTTTTTGAAACAAGGTCTCTCTTTAGTCCCAACTGGCATGGAACTCACTTTGTAGACCAGGCTGGCCTTGATTTCATAGAGATCCACCTGCCACTGCCTCCTGAATGCTGGTATGCCTCCTCAAGCCATATGTCACTATATCTAGCACCTTCTCATGTATTAAAGTATAGTATTTTAATGTTGGTTGATTTTTAATATAAATAGCTATTAAATTTTCTTACTTTGTAGAAGCATTTGAGATTTTATATGTTTAGTATTATATTTTACTTAATATCCTAACATAATTGGAAATATTTTAGTTAAAATGACTGTTAATCAGTATATTTAACTTGCATTTGTTCTGAATCTTTAATTTTTTTAAATGAAGATCCTAATAACTTTTCCCAAAAGATACTGTTGCTAATACTTTCTTTTCCCAGTACAAGAAGTGAAATCAGCCCTCTAGCCAGCTTGATATTGGATGTAATATGCAGGCCTATTGTTTTTGAAAAGTTCTGTTTATCTCATGACCACTGTTTTTAGTAAAAAAATCTCATTTCATACTTAGTCTGTGATCTTTACAAACATAGGCATGTAAATCTTCATAACTTTTTTTAAAAAATTGGTAACTAAGTTATTAGTGGTAGTGATATGAAAGTATCAGATGATTTTTTTTAAGTTAGATGACTCAGATATCTTGGATTAATCAGGTCTAATTGGTCATTTAAAGAATTTTGAGTATTGATCCCTAATTTGTATGTACTAAGAATTTGAATTATATTTTAATAATTTGGAATTAGAGACTAGAGACACAAAATGCATTTCTTGCATTTTGATTTGTTTGGTTTTAAAGACACCTAGCTGTTGGGCAGAAGAGGGAGCAGAGAAACGGTCACATCAGCGGTCTGCATCATGGGGAAGTGCTGATCAACTAAAAGAGGTAAGTTATTTCTGTTTTCATTCTATAACTTGTTTGATCTTAATGGTTGTTTTTACTGTTTCCTCACTATAGTGGTGTTTCCATTTGTTTTAACCTTAATTTTTTTTATAGTCACAGAGTTGATTCTACATTTTGGTAGAAATGAATCTTCTTAGTTTGTATCCTTTATGTCCTTGACACATATTTGTTATATTGCCCATCAACTGTAGCATTTCTAGAATGCAGCCTGGTATTATGTAATAAATTCTGTATTGTGCTCATTTTAGTATCTTTATTTTCCCTTCAGTATACTTTTTTGGTTGTTGTACTTTGCTTTTTTGTTTGTTTGTTTGTTTGCTTGTTTGTGACAGGGTCTTATTATGTAGCCCTGGCTGGCCTGGAACTCACAGAGATATACTCACTTCCTTTGCCTCCCTTGAGAGAGCGGGAATTAAAGGTATGTGCTACCTTGTTTATTTTTAAATCATTTCAACCAGAACCATAGATAGTAGCTTTGTACAATGATGGTAAGAGTGTTTTCAGGGTTTTTAATTTTTTGGTCTTTCTGAGACAGGGTATCCCTACAGCCCCAGCTGACCTGAAATTCACTTTGTAGACCAGGCTGGCCTGTCTCACAGAGATCTATCTGCCTCTGCCTCCCATATACTGAGATTAAAGGCATGTGCCACCATGCCTGGCTTTTCTGTTTTTTAATAGCTTTTTAAAAAAATGATATGCAACTTATTACGGCTCTTTGAGACCCAATATTATAGTGGAAGCCAAATGTTTTAGAAGTGATCCCTTTCTTAATTTATTATGAATAACCCAAAATATATGTTTATATATAATGGGACATTTTTTTCTGGTAGTTTTAGCCATATAAATTCATAATCTGTTTGTAAGTTGTAATTGAGTCCAACTTCTTTGTTGACGCTTCTTTAAAAGATGGTCCTCTCATCTTTGTTACCATCTTCTCACTGGGGAGAGCTCAGTATAGTCATTTTAACTGAAGTTGTTAAGTATGTTATTTTTAAATTTTTTATTATTCTTATTTTATGTGTCTGAGTGTATTGCCTGCATTTGTATAAGTGCACTCATGTCATCCAGTGCCTGCAGAAGTCAAAACAGTGCATCAGTTAAGTACAGTTGTTAACTGCCATGTGGGTGTTGGGAATTGAACCTGGGTCCTCTGCAAGTCAGTGCTCTTAACCACTAAGCCATTTCTCCAGCCCTAAGTATGTTCTTTTATATACTGAACTCAGAATTATATTTTTAAAATATTTTATTTATTTTTATTTCTATTTTATGTGTATGAGTGTATTGTATGCATGTATGTGAGTGCACCCATGTTGTGCAGTGCTGCAGAGGTCAGAAGAGAGCTTTGGATTCCCCTGGATCTGGAGTTAAGGACAGTTTGTAGCCACCATGTGGGTGCTGGGAATCGAACCCGGGTCCTCTGCAAGAGCAGCAAATGCTTAAACTGCTGAACTATCTCTCCAGCCCCAGCATTTCCCTTAAATGCTTTTTTTATATACAGAGCTCCAGACCTCAGTATCATTTGCATATACCATAGGTTATCAGTTTTCCTCAGATACTGTGGTGTTTAAACCAGATAGTATCATAGCATGATTTTGCCTGTGACTATTATTTCATTTTTAGCTACTCCTTTATGTTGTAGATGTAGAGAAATCTGTAATACCAATCTTACTCAAATGCATATGAGTAGAAGTAGATTTCCCCAGCAGCAACACAAAAGAAGTTAAGTGTAATATATCTAGACTAAAATATGGCTAAAAACTCATGTGTATAATATGAATAATGAAAAAAATCTAACTTATAATTTTATCTCAGAGTTAAGGGCAATCTCAATGTTATTGCTGATACCTGCTGTAGTTTAGTTATAACTGCATTATAGTAACACGTGTGCTATATACTATTAAAAAGGAACTGGGGCACTGGAGAGATGTCTCAGCAGTTAAGAGCACTAGCTGTTCTTACCGAAGATCCAGATTTGAATCCCAGCACCCAGCATGATGACTAACAACCATCTGTATATAACTTCAGTTCCAGGGGATCTGCAATTACCTCTTCTGGCCTTCACAGGCACTGCACAATGTGGGTGTACTTACATATATACACATAAAATAAAGATATATAAAAAGTTATTTTAAAAGAAACAACTGGATTAGAATTGATTGCTTTCCCCAGAAAGCAACCATAAAGCCAACCAAAATTGTCAGAACAACTATTACAGTGCTGTAGACATAATCAAAATAAACTGAGCAACTTTACTCATGAAAACTACTGAATTTAGGAGAATAGTACAAATTGTAGTGTTCTTGTCTGTTGCTTAAGAGTAGGCACAAAGGAAATTCAAGATGGCAAGTGGAAATAAAACCCAGTTAAGATTGCAAAAGACCTGAACTTAAAGAGTATCTTAAAAAAGAAAAAGAAAAATAGTCTTAAAATAGTGGAACAGAGAAACATCGGACACCATACATTGTAGTGGAAACAGATTTTTAGGCCATCAAGCTACTAACACAGTAAATACATATGACAGTATTCACCCCTGGGATGGGTATTCAGTGTGTGGAGTTGTTATACTTGATTTAAAATGTCCAATATTCAAAATGATTTATTGGTACATAAATGAACAAAGAATGCATCATATATACTTGGGAAAAGAAAAAGCTGATAGAAATTGTATCATAAGTGTTTCTGTATGTTTGATTTAGCAGACAAATAGATCAAAATGGCTATCATGAGCTTCCGAAGAACTGAAGGAAACTGTTTAAAAAGAGTTAAGGGGAGGTATAACTGTAGACATCCTGTGACTAAAGGATTTCAACAAAGAGATAGTTACTCTAAGAAAGATGCAAAGAAAATTCTAAACTTAAAAGGGGCAGTACCTGACATTTTAAATTCTTTAAATGGGCTTGACAGCAGATTTGAACTGTCAGAAGGGCACAGCAAAGGTGAACATCTATCGATAGAATGTATATGCCTTGAAGAAGAACAGAAGGAAAAATTTTGAAAAAAACAGAAGAGCTTGAGACTAGTGGGACAATGTATCCACACTTAATAAGAGACCCAGGAATGAAGGCAGAGCAAAAGGAAAACAAATAATGGCAGAAAAATTTGCACATTAAGTGAAAAAATCTGGAGGGAAGAAGTTGAATTGAGTCCAACTAGGAAAACAAAGCCACAGGCAGACACTTAGTTAAAAACAAACTGTTAAAAATCAAAGGAAAATATCAAATCTTGAAAGCTGTAAGGAAAACATGAGTTGCCACTCATGGAGAACTAATGAGGACTTTAAATGCTAACTTTTCATCAGAAGTGATCTCTGTTCCTTAAGGTGCCAAAACATTGTCATCCAAGTATTGTATAGGTTAGTAAAACTAGTCTTCCAAAATAAAGGTAGGGAAAAAGGCATTCTCAGATTGGGAAAAAAAGGATTTAATTTTTTGTTTTTAGATTGTTCTATAAGAAATACTGCAAAGTGTTCAGGCTGAAAATAAGTAAATAAGTGATACCCAGGTATTAATGTATAGGAAAAATTCTTCTTAGAATAGTAAATCTGGACAACTATAAAAGATTTAGAGCAGTTTTGCTGGATTATAACATACACAGGAAATATGTAATCTGTATTACAATTGACAGTGACAACCAAAGGAGGGGTAAAGAAAAGGACAGAATCTGTGTGTGGGTTCTATTTCATGTATTTTAAGTATCATTTTGAATGTAGCTTCAGTGTGATAAATTATGATACATACTGTAGTCCCTAGAGTAATTGCTAAGTTGCTAAGAAAATAACAGATTTAAAATGGAAGAATTAAAATGGTACGTTTAAAACTATCACAAAAGAAAGTATTAAAGAAATAGCAACAAAGATGCAGCACAAATAGAAAAAGACTAGCAAAATGGACTGAAATTTTGTATTTAAAAGTCAGATTGATCAGCTGGATAAAAAGCATCTTTCAACTACAAGCTGTCTCTAAGAGAGACACCTAGATTCAGAGATACAAGTATATTGAAAGTAAAATGATAGAGAAAACAGAAATGTCCATAGAACTGGAATAGGCATACAGATATCATGCAAAATAGACTTTGAAACAAGCATTTCTGAAGAAAGTAGGAATATATCAAAATGATAGTGTAATAGTCACAAATGTGTATGCATCCAACAGCAGCATTCCAAACTGCATGAAGCAAAAACTGTGAAAGGATAAATAACATTTCTACAACAGTTAGTTGGAGATTTACCCACATTTTCAATACTTAACTGAACAATCAGAGAAAAAATTATCAATGAGAGAAAACATACGAGGTGATTGGATCTCATAAAGAAATCATATGCTCAGCCATAAATTAGTATCAGATTTCAAAAGATTAAAGTCATGTAACTGAAAGTCATTTTAAAATATCTTAATATAAGCAAAGTTTTATATTAAGTCAATTTGTGGTTCTTTTCTTTGCCAGATGTAAAAATTACTTTATCCAGCAACACATATACTTTTTGTCATTGAGCTTATGTTTTTTCAAAAATTTTTATTTTATATGTTAAGCTGTTAAGATGAAATAAACCCTTTCTTCTCCTAAATTGTTATTGGCTATAGTGTTTATCACTAGCAGTAACAGAAACAGAAAAGTAACTAGAACACAGACTGACTTTCAAAAATGTTCACAAACATTTGTATGAGTGTATTGTCTGCATGTATGTAAGTGCACCCGTGTCATGCAATGACTGCAGAAGTCGGAAGAGGGCATTGGATCCCCTGGAACTGGAGTTAGGATGGTTGCTAGCTGCCATATGGGTGCTGAGAATCGAACCCACATCCTCTGCAAATGCAGTCAGTGCTCTTAACTGCTGAGCCAGCTCTCCACCCCTTATATAAGTTTTAATAGCAGTTGTCTACACTGCTTTTTAGAGTGCTATGGCTATTTATTTTGGTATTTTGATAATTTCACAGTACACTGTATTTTGTTGTGGCTCTCTGGAAAAATCAATATATTTTACG